CCCCTCCCCCTCCTCCTCCTCTCCCTTTTCCTTCTCTCCCTCCTCCTCCCCCCCCCACTCCTCCTCCTCCTCCTTTTGGTTTTTCGAGACAGGGTTTCTCTGTGTAACAGCTCTGCCACTCCTGGAACTCACTTTGTAGACCAGGCCAGCCTCTGTCTCCTGAGTGCTGAGATTAAAGGCATGTGCTACCACTGCCTGGTTACAGGAGTGCTTTTCAAAAAAGATTTATTATTTGTTTTTTGTTTTTGTTTTTGTTTTTCGAGACAGGGTTTCTCTGTGTAGCTTTGCGCCTTTCCTGGAACTCACTTGGTAGCCCAGGCAAGCCTTGAACTCACAGAGATCTGCCTGGCTCTGCTGGGATTAAAGGCGTGCGCCACCAACGCCCGGTTTATTATTTGTTTTTACTTGATGTGTCTGAGAGTTTTGCCTGCCGGTATGTGTGTATACTACTTGCATGTCTGGTGCCTTCAGGAGCCAGAAGGGGGCATTGTGTCCTCTGGAACAGGAGTTATAGATGCTTGAGAGCCACCATGTGGTGCTGGGAATCCAACCCAGGTCGGCTGCAAAAGCTGCTAGTGTTCTTAACCACTGAGCCATCCTTCCAGCTCTTACTAGACCACTCTTTGCTATTAAATATTCATTAAGAATCATGGGGGCTTGGGGGCTGGAGAGATGGCTCAGCGCTTAAGAGCACTGACTGCTCTTCCAGAGGACCTGGGTTCGATTCCCGTTACCCACATGGTGGCTCACAACCATCCGTAACCCGAGTTCCATGGAATTCAACAGACACTCATGTGGTGCACATACCTACATGCAGGCAAAAATATATACTCCGAAAGTAAAATATATAAATCTATAAAAATTAAAAAAAAAAATCACAGGGCTGTGAGCAAGACAATCTTAAGTATTTCCTCTGCCCAAAGCTCAGGCATACCACCCCTGGGGCTTTGTGACAAGTGGCAAGTTCTTAAATCATTATGTTTATTAAGTTCTTAAATCATTATCTTATCATTAAGAACTCAGTGGCAAGTTCTTAAATCATTCTGTCCATGTCTTCTTTGTCCCACCAGTGTTCATCAGCCGTCACCAGCTCCCGAGGCGCCTCCCTCATGCTCACACATACTGGCTCTCACCCTATTATAGCGTTTATTTGAGCAGGCAGCGATCCAGTCATGAACGGGGTAACTCCAGACCTTAGGAAGTTTGGGGCTCCAACCGAGGGACTGGGGAGGGAAGGGGAAGTCTTTCATAATGTGAACTTGACAAAGACAGCATTTGACTTGTTATAGGGGTGACCTCATTTGGTCCCTCCAGGGGACCTTGTTGGGGGTTGGCTCCTGGCAGGATGAGCTGAGCACACTGCTTACACTGAGGTGGACTCAGCAGGCTTACCTAAGGACCCAGAGTACTGGGGCTCAGTACCTCCTGGCTGATTTCTTTTCGTCATCTGCCACTGTTCTTGGGAAACTCTTCATGTCCGTCTTCAGTTGAGGTCACAGAGTTAAAGAGGCCTTTTTTTGGGGGGTGGGGTGATCACACACATCTGTGCTCCATTCCAATTTCCTTTCTCCAGTGACATTTACGGGATGTCCCAGTCATTAGGGTTGGACGTAAGTGAATTCTCTTTTCTCGGCACAGTCTAAATTTGCATTTTATTGCCTCGTTTAAAGTTGTACACATCCTGTGACTTGCTTTTGCCCAAGAAATGTGGGCAGAAGGTGACTTAAGAGTCTATGCCCAATTCAGTTCCCATTCTACCGATATCAAGGAAGTGACTCTCCATCAGCTGAAGTCTGTGGATGGTCACACTTCCCCACCTGGTCCTTACGGCACACGGCACACGTAACATGAGCTGGAAATAAGCTTCATTGTCTAAAGCCTCGATTCTCCCTCTCCACCTCCCTCCCTGGCCCTGCTCTGTGTGCGTGTGTGTGTGTGTGTGTGTGTGTGTGTGTGTGTGTGTGCGCGCGTGCGTGTCCGTCCGAATGCATTCTATTCCAACCTGTTCTGATCCTCTAGCATTCAGCTAAGAAGAACTACCCGGGAACGGCCTCTAGGCAGAATTTTCATTTTCTGCCTTGGGATCAGGGAGGGTTTGAGGAGGGCTGATTGCTCAGGCAAGAACAGACAATAAGGTCTTCAAAAATATTTATTTACTGCGAAATAAACTTTATATAATCCCAGCTGCTTTGGAGGCTAAAAAGGAAGAGGATAGCCTGGGCTACCCTGTGAACCTGCATTTCAAAGAAAAAAATGGACAAATTGAATTTGACATGGCATTATTGTTTGTTTCAGCACTGTTTGTTTGTTTTTTTTCTCTGTGTAGCCCTGGCTGTCCTGGAACTCACTTGGTAGCCCAGGCTGGCCTTGAACTCACAGAGATCCGCCTGGCTCTGCCTCCCGAGTGCTGGGATTAAAG